GATGCCCTACCACTGCTGCTAAAGCTGTTCTGTGGAATAATCTAAAATCATTGTCAGGACTGTGTATCACATCACCTCTGTGTGCACACTTGTGTGCTATTATGTGTAGGAACAAGATAAACTAAACTCAAACAGAAGTCAAATTGAAGTACTCCATAATGGTACCACAGCAAAAAGCCCCACAGTGTATCTGGAACTGATGATCAAAGTGTTGCTATTTCAATTTCAATTTTTGTTTTTGTTTTATAAATGATATGTAATGTGAAAAATACTTATTTTCTACTAGATTAATTATGCTCTTGACTTTGTAGTCTATTATATGTCTGCACTCATACCATAGATCACAAAAATTGAGCTCATGCAATGTTGAAAGTCAGCATTCTTCAGATAGAAAATTAGAATTCCAAGTAGTACAGCTAAACTATGTCTTTCCATCTATTTTTTCCATATGCAGCGTGATTGAAACAGATGCTCTGCATTTGGGCCACACTGCGGGTTGCAAGGATCTGTCAGGTGTCTGAATTACAGATGCAAATATAGTCAGCTACTTTGCATGCCAGCATCATTTGCTCAGAAAAATACTGCACCTACACCTCGGGTCCCAATATTATCATCATTAAGTTGCTCCTCATCTCAACAGGATGCTCAACAAAGCAAACAGTTGAGATAAATATGGCACCACACAGTCACTAAAAGGTCTTAAATGATGCTGGAAAACATAAAGGGAGGAAACACCAATTTTCTCTGCCAGATTATAATTTTAGCGTAGCACTTAGGATCTGAGGTGATGTTAGGATGTTTGAAAATGTTGCTATCCAAAGTCTTGACCTAAATAGGTAAGAGTCTAAATTCTAAATCAAGTAATTTAGGATAAGATGCCTATCTGCAGGTGTAGTCCAACTAAATATCTAAGCCTAAAATTGTTATTTACATACTATGTCATGTGTTTTTTGTTTTGCAATGAATTCTAGAGGACTGACATTCAACTCAATAGTAAGTGCAGTTTCTGCAGGCAAACTTTCTTTTTATAGTCAGATTACCATGTGTCGCTGGGATGTGAATCACACTGAAATCATTAAGTTCTATCACATTCACAGCTAGTTTTCCCACTGCTTTCACAAACTCAGGTGCTTAATGCTAAGAGCGCAAGTTCAGGTTAATAACGGAAATTGTTAAAAAATCCTGGTTAAGATGAAAACCTTTACATATCTTTGTTAGCGACAAGCAACAAGCCAGTAAAACAGAAACTGACAGATTGTCAGAGTGACGTGGTGTGACAGAGATCTGCTATTTCTGGTCTCTGGATGTACCAGTTAATAGTCACAACAATTAAACAGCTTTGCACTCTGCAGAGTTCTCAGGAGAGAACACGTTGGGTGTCAAAGCTGAGAACGTCACATGCCAAGCAAGCAAGTATGCTTATTCACTTGTGATTTATTTCCTCCTTCAAATAACAATGCACCTAAAATGCACCTTTGTTAATTTCAGATGCAAGGTAAATAATGAGATTCTTTAGATCTTAATCCATTCATCGTGATGTGCATACTTATGAGCTTTCCCATATTCAGCAGGCCACCCAGGATGTATTTTGTCGATATAATTTGAACAAACCCTTGATGTTTTTGATGTAGTGCAGGTTCATGTTACTGGTTCAGAGGGTTTCTATTTTTTCTCCATCTGTCTGTCCATCTACTTGTCTATCTGGGAGATGTTATATGAGTTGGAGCAAGAAAAAGAAATATGAAATTAATTGGTTTGTTATTTCAATAACAAATAAACAACATAACTACCCCTAAACAGATGAGGGTTAATTTTACTGAACGGCTTTCTTATTTAAAAGGAAAAGTATAATGCAGTATAATAATAATAATAATGACTGTTTCCAAGGAAACCTTTGTGTTGTTTTTTTATCCCTACATAAGTTTGATCGGTAATATATTATGGTTGATAAAGTAAGCTTTCAAAGATTCCAGTCTATGAATACACTCTCTTCCATTATAACATATTCCATTATTTCATGTTTTCACTCACAAGTGCTTGCTCAGGGAATCATTTTAAAGTACTGGTACAAAAGCGAAGTACCTCGTTGAGTCTGGCCTCTAACCTATCCTCAAGAATAGATTTCAAACCAAGCTAAGGTATCTTAGACATGCATGGATAAGGCTGCTGTAGATGGGACTGAAAAGACCACAAACAAATGCCATGTACCAACATTTATTTTTGGCCTGCTGTGTTTCTTTTGATAGCTTAAAAGAAACCAACCCTCTTCACCTCAGATTTGGCTTCAGATGAGCGTCACATATTCAAAGTTTGTGTTTTTTTTTATTTTGCAGTAAAAAATGTACACATGCCATCGCTTTAGAAAGTATTCAGTATTGTTTTAACAATTTTAAGTCTATAATATTGGATTTTTTCCCTTCTCTGTCAGTTCAGACTTAAGAACCCATGATAAAAGTAACCAGTGTTGCAGCAGTTACAGCTTACACTAGCAGTCTGCTTGGGTAAGTCTCTACAGGCTTTGCAAACCTGGATTTGGACAGTTTATCCCATTCCTCCTGGCAGAGCCTGTGAAAGCTTCAGAGAACTGCTGTCTTCAGGTCTCCCTACAGATGTTCTGTGAAGTTAAAGTTTATACTTTGGCCGGACCATTCACAAATAGTCATGACTTCCCCTAAAGCCACTGCACAGTTATCTTACCTTCTTTTTGTTTGCTGTTGCAATGTAGTTGGTTGCATTTTTATTCCCCCCCACTTCTGACCAGTTTTTGTTTTTCTGCTGTTGAGAAGGATTCAAGAAGGTGATATTGGCTCTACCATGTTTCACTCATTATCCAACCTGAAACATGAACACAAATAAATTAGGAAATAAAGGAAAATCTAAAATAAAACAGTGCAACATAAGCTTATTGTCATAGTAGTATAATTAAAGCAGAAAAGAGAACAAAAACATCAAAGCTAATTGTCATAGAGGTCACGATGTGTTCTGATTATGATGTGATGCAGGTAAGCAGGTTGATAAACTGTTTCAATTTTTAGCTCCCAAAGGATTTATCTTTAGTTTAGTTCAGCGTGTGAAGTTTTTACAAAATTTTGACTGAACTTAATAGAGGACCTGCTCAGGAGATAGAACAAGTCATCTACTAATTGGAAGTTTAACAGGTTGATTCCTGGCTGACCAGTTTTGCATGATCGCATTTCAAGGCAAGGGGTGCATGGCACATACTATCCCAATAGCTAAGGCATTTTCAAACATAAATCATAATGCATACTTACTAGTTTCACCTTTCAGATTCTTCTTATTAACTACCCATGAACATGCTGTACCTATGTTTGTTTTTTGTCGAATATGTATTTGTATTTACAATGCCAAGGTTGATCTGCAGCCACTGGTGAGTGGATACGAGTTCTTCGTTTTTATTGATATACTGTACTGTAAAGAAGGGCGTTAGGCCACTCTGGTGTTCATCATGTTGGGAGGACAGTGCCTTTAAGTCAGATGTTTTCATTTCAAGGGTTATCTGTGTGTGCGTGCGCCTACAGGTTTGTCAGTGATAATGAAATGCTGCATGTGGCAAAGAAGTATCTGGAGGGAAACAGTGCTGTTTTCATTAGGCTCATGTTTCACTGAGTGCACCTTCTCCTCATTTTGTTCAGAGACACAAAAACATGACGGCAGATCCTCATCAAAAAGGCACACTGTGTATCATTACCAGGAAACACCTCTGCCGTCTGTCTGTTTTGTTCAGTGTGACCCATAGGGATGAAAAATTCCATTTACACAAACACAGTTTATCTATCACAACAACTGACATGGTGAAATCCCTGAAAACAGTCTCTTGTGTTGAGAAACACAACACCAGCTAAGAGTAAGTCTTATATAAAATCATGGTCACTCAAGAAAAGCTTCTTGCTTTAGCTCACCTATATGTTTTATTTATTAATTTTTTTGTGTATTGTTTTTCTTGGTGCACACATCAGTGAAATCTTTGATCGAGTTGGAGGAGCAAAAGTAGCATCTTGCACATCTAATGCTTATAAAACCTTATACACTGTACCCCATGAACAATACTTCAGTTATTTATTTTTATATCATTTTCTATCATGCTTAGCTGTAGAAGCTAGAGCCAAGCATGGACATTCTGTGGTACACAAATATACCAGCAAGTGACCCATGCTGAAATGTGTGACATACTCGTGATCTCAATTTATATACTGGCCAGCCTATGGTAGCATAAGGGAGTAGTGATACTGGGTATTATAAATGGATCAGCAGGGTGTTGTTTGATAACTGTCTAAAGAGAAATAGCTCGAATCGAATAACTTGAATCTCAGCTCCAATTGGTAATGGAAAAAAAATGGTGTATTGGTGCTTCAATTTCAATCGCTACATGAAGACATTCACAAAATCGGGCTACTATCATAAGAATGCATGACAAACAAAATGATTTATGCCAGACTACTATATCTAGAAAGTTACATCAACATATTCAGAACATTGCTGTTACATTGAGACCAAGATCAAGTGGCTGATAAACTTCAGTTTTCACACATTTGTATCGATTCCTCGTTTTAAATGAGTATGAATAGATTCCTGTTCTGCTGAAGGTCTGTTTACTGTCCCTTAGTCAAAACTAAAAGTGGATAAGCAGTATTCAGTTTTTATGTACAATAAACTTGTCTATAAACTCTAGGGCAAGTGCCCTTTATTAAATTAAATTGTTTATTCTTTAAATATGTCGCTTCTTTTTTTTTTTTTTTTTTTTATTGTACTCTTTTTAAATCCTATCTGTGTCTGCTATTACTGTATAGCTTTGAGCTTCTTTTATATCGTGTACTAATGCCTTTTATGTCTTATGTAAAGCACTTTAATTCCCTTGTAGTTGAAAAGCACACACAAGTAAGTGTGCATTGCTTTGCCTTGATACTGTTCACTTCAATCCCACAACTCCTTTGACTAGAAGCTCCTTCAAGCTTATTTTATTATTATTTCTTTTTGTGCAGATACCCCAGGTGAGCTATGCCTCCACAGCTCCAGAGCTAAGTGACAACACCCGCTATGACTTCTTCTCCCGAGTGGTGCCTCCTGATACCTACCAGGCCCAGGCCATGGTAGATATTGTGAAGTATATGCGCTGGAACTATGTTTCCACAGTGGCCTCAGAGGGGAACTATGGAGAGAGCGGCGTCGATGCTTTCATTCAGAAGTCTCGGGAGGATGGTGAGTACACTTGGCCTTGTACATCATTACTGCATAACTTGCACACCAATGTGGGAAGGTGTCACCTATTTGAGCTTGCTGCACTGATGAATGATATATCTCAGTGACACCGCTAGCAAAAGTCAGCCACTGAGGTCAAATGTTAGATTTCATCCCAGAACTTGCATATGCAGAGGTCTACTTGAATACCACAGAGTACATCTGTTTGTTGTTGCCATGCATATAATTATGATATGAATGGCTTTGAGGCATCATTCAGTTTTACAAGAGTGATGCTATAGAGACAATATCAGTCATATGTAGAAGTTGCTAATTAACATCTAGAATATACACCTAATCTACACTAAAGTTTATTAAAGCCAAACAACTCTGTAAAATGTTTCATACCCACACAGATTTTTAATTCAATTCCATTTTATTTATATAGCACCAAATCACATCAACAGCTGCCTCAAGGTGCTTTACATTGTAAGGTAACTGTAGTTCCTGGAATGACCACTTGAGGCTGTCTTCAACAGCATTTTATTCCTTATAGAGTCCAATGTAAAATGGCTTACCTTAAAAAGTATAGGTACAGCTTAATACAAAGAGCTTATTTCTCCATGTGTGAGAACTTCACAGGGTGTCAGTTTCTTAGTAAAATGTTTTAGGCCTCAAGGTTAAGTTTCATTTATGTTGGCTGCCTTTTGGAACATTTTTAATGCAATTACTTAAATATGTGGCCATGTTATGCCCATCCGGTCTATTTCGCAGTCCACCCTTTTGTCACTTTTGGCTTCTAACATACCAAAATGGAGAAGGCCATAAAGTTAAAGTAGAGGATTCAGAATTAAACAAACTAAAAAGTGATGTTGAACTATAATCATGGCCAAATGTTGTTGGCAGCAGCAAAATTTTGGTTTTCATAGACTATATTTCTTTTTAAAAATATTTTTTCATTTCTTTGTTATATTAAAGAACAGTCATAAGCATTTCATAAGTTTCACTGCCAAAGCGTTAAGGCTATTTTGTTTTAGGTAAGTAGCATTATTATAATATGTTTCGTTTTTATCTACAATAAAATGGATCAGACTTTAACTGTATTATCAACACAAATTCTTTTGGGGTTTGTTCAAGCTCAGTACATATCTCTCTAAACACACTAATCTATATAAATTACTCAGAAAAATCATAGATATTAGCTGCTACAATTTAGTTTGAGCTCTTAATTGAAACTGTGTGCTTTCACAATATTATGTGAGCAAATTCCTGTGACTGTGGATTTGAAGTATTCTGCTAATTCACTGCTTGTTCTCCTACTTTGCCATGTACCACTGTCATGAGCTGAATAAAGAAAATAACCTGAACGGGCAAATTATCTGACTCAGCTCCCATAGCAGCAGCCCTGGCAGCCCAGGAGCACATGCTCTGGCTTCACCAGAACAGCTTTCCCTTAAGAGAGCCAGCAAATAAGACTGAGTACAATGTGGGTAAAAAGCAGATGATGAAAGGTAAATATGAATTCCAGGTGGGGTTTTTTGATCTCTGCTTTTGTATCCCTCTTCTCTTGCAAAAAGTGCCTCGAGCTGGGAATCAGTGGCCTTCAGTGTTTATTTCTGTGTAGTGTCTGAGATGAGAAGCTTCTCATCTCCCATATAGTACCCAGGATGTGACCCACCCTGAAGGGATGGTTGTAAGAGCTGTGGTAGGATACATGGACACAGAAAGCAGTCACTTGTTTTGTTTTAAAAAAGAAAGCTTTCCAAATCACATACTTTTTATTTTTACCTTCACTATGCCCTTTTAAACTATGTAATACTGCACGGAGGATGTATACATTTGGGACTCACTACTTCATCGTAATGTTGAACTTTTGATGCACTTAGTTGCTTAGTTGTAAATGGCACAGCAGATTGTGGACGGGACAGGCAAAAAGTATGCTGGTGGAAGTAGTAAGACAACCTGGTATTTTTGTCAAACAGCAATTGACATAAATATTTTTTTTCTGCCATACTAAATTTTAATATGTGTATTAGTTACACCTAATGTTGGAAAAATCCCCTTTTTTCACCTTGTATTGAGGTCTTCTCTGCTGGCAGTGAATATGTTATATTAAATTACTAAAGACATCAAAGCAAAGAGCAGTACAATGAGGACATAGTAAGTTCTAATACCACCAGATAATTTGGAACATCTTACGTGGAGCTGATGCAGCCACCGGATGCTTTATTCTTCAATTTCAAAGGACCTATTTTATGAAACGCACATAGTTTCTGAAATGGAAACTTCCTAATGGTCATCCGGGGTCTACTTAATGGTCTCTTATTGCTTACTACTTTCGTATTTATGAATGTACAATTCTTTCCGAGTGCAGACTTTAGGAAACAAACAGGAGACAGAAAGACCAGTCAGTTCTGGGCAGTAGAAGCTCATCTCTGGCTGAAGACTGCCCTTCTCTGCAGAGACGTTGATTACTATGGAGCATGCCCCAATAGATGTCATTAATCAAGTTAATGAAACACAATGTCAATAAGAACCCTAACAAGATTTCCCTTGCAAACCAATGGCCTGTCTGACATCAACATAAGAAACCCTGCTAATGGAGTAACTGCTACCCCCATGTGATGAGGATTACAAGTGTTAGCCACAGAGTTGGGCTGAATAAGCCCATGTGGAGAATGTAAAATGAAGAAGAAGAAAAGGGGAGCACAAACAACTCTGCATTGCTCCTGGGTGGTTTATTTGTAGATCCAGGGAACAGACAATTTTAGAATGGGCTGATTGTTATGCCTAGTGAGCGAAAAACAAAGTACGAACTCAACACATGGGGAAAATGCATAATTATGTTTTATTAACTGATTCTTACTGAAATGATCTTTCAGGTTAAAAGCAGTTCACATTTAAATATTAAGGTTGGTGAGGCTTTATATTTATGTCATAAATAACAAATCCCATGAAAATATTAAAACACCAACTGGGTGTTTGTGCACAACTTTGCAGGTCTGAGTTACAGTATTATTTAAAGATTAATACATGTAGCACTGTGAAACATCTTGAGCTGCCTTTCCTTATATTTTGCTTTGGAGTACCCAGACTTTCTTGCAATTTTCAAAGTGGTCTTGAAAAATAATTCTCCAGGGTTTTCGAAGGTCTTTCAAAGTCCTTTGGATATTGGCAGCTTCTTCACTCATTTTCATTCTATTCCTTGTGCTGGACTCATCCAAGCACATGTTATCTACCCACCATTGTCACACAATACAGTCAGAACTTTTCATCATCAGCTTAACACACGGAAGGCCAGAATCATTAAAAAATTGCCATCACATTGCTTAAAGAAATTACAAGGAAGCTTGCCTAAGAGAGTTCAGGTTGTTTTATAGAATAAAGATGCTCATTCCAAATATTGATTTTCATGCTGATAAGAAATGTACAAACTAAGCAAAATATGAAGAGATATGGGGTGACTCAAGACTTTTGCACAGTACCATATGTGGTGCACTAGTACTGAATTTTGATAATAAGTTTGTGCATTAAAGCAAGCCTTAAGATGCATAGGGCTTGTGTTTATCGTAATGCAGTAATGCACCACTCAACGCAATAGTGTAACAACAATGGAGTTTTATGGCATAGGGGAATAAGCTAGATCACGCTTTCTTCTTACTGCTTTATAAATATTTGATGCATTCTTTGAAGAATATCATGAAAGCTGCAAGGTAAAGAAATTGGAAAGTATTGTAGACTGTGTAACAGGATAAGATAGAAGCACGGCTCCACCCAGAGCAACAAACAGACTTGTGAACATCTGCATTCTAAATGACCGCAGTCACCAAGGGAAGAGATCACAGCACACACAGCGATGTCCCTGTTTCTATCTGTATGGCCTTTTAATCTCTAGTTCACACCCGTGTGTGATGTGTCAGCCAGTTATGTCTTTATTTATTATTTGACATAACGCAAATGACCCCCGAGTGCCTCAGATATGTCCTCTTGCAATTTGTTTGAACAATTACTTGTCATTGCTTAATTAGGCAAAACGAAAGGCTAAATAATCATCACTCATCTTCTCTTGCAGTTCTTTCTCCATCTTTTCTCCCTCTCTGACAGGGACGTAATGGTTACATATTGCTCTTAATGCAAAGACACTATAAAAGCCAATTTCCTTAGCCAAGTGCTATTTGAACTTCGATCTTAAGTAATACCCTATAGAAATGTTAGCTGACCAAATGATTTCATGTGACATCATTCCCTTTCTGCTTCTTCTGTGGCAGCTTGTACTTTATAATGCCAATGTACATTAATACATATTTAAAACAAAGACAAAAATGGAGAAATACGTGGCGCAGATTCAATCAAAAGTGCAGGGGGGAAAAAGCAACGGATTAGGGTGTGGAGGAGGTTATGGGGGATAGAGTTTATTTTAGCCTGAACTACCCGGGGGATGTGGCACAAATTGGCCACAAAAGAGGCTGTTGTGTGAATTTAGTTAGTATATGAATAATTACATGGACACCAAAAACAATAAAATGAGGTTACTGACTTAAAACTATGAGCATATGAGCATCAAATTTGCTTCTAGTTGGCAGTCTGTTTGGTTGTCAGAAAAATACAGAATGACATTTAAGTGACATTCAATAGCTTTAGCATTGCACTCAGCAACAGGAAATAATCAGGTCGGTGTACAAGAAGGATTAAAAAACAACCCTAATGGCTTTTCCTAATAACTATGTACATGAAAAATTCTGGATAAAGCTAGAGAAAGGGTGGACATATAACCGATTTTAACTTTCAAAGAGACTTAAATTTGTCTGTCTACTTATTTAAGACCATCATTCCAAACTTGTGAGAAGAAGACAGATTTCAATTACGCAACATAAGACAATAACTTAAATTAGACAGCTCAGGCAACTAATCTGGATTACAATTCTGCAGATAATCCAGACAGCTCCTTTTCATAAGAACATATCAATAGCACTTTTGTCAGGGGGATAAGATTTTCTCAGCTTCCACTAAGCACTTTCTAA